AAATTGAATTTGGACATATAATATCAATCTCAGGTGTACAAAAATAAACTCTGTTTTTATTTCATAATTATATTTTTAAAAAATAAGTTGGAAATTTTGATCCAATTTTAAAAATAAAAATTTGAAAATAAATATTTTGTATTTGTTTTAGGCTAAATTAATTAAAAAAAACTCACTTTATCTAAAAATATTCATAAATTTTTAAAAGTCTAAAGAATACTCTTAAGGTTAAAATAAAAAAAAATACACTTGAGCATTTAAGATTTATTAAAAAAAATACATTTAAACTTTAAAATTTTTTAAAGATATTTTTTAAAAAAGAATTTGTATTAATTTAGGTTTGTTTTTAAATGTTGGACCTAAAATTTAATTGAAAATCAGGGGTAGGAGATATAAGGCTATAAAATAATGATCTCGGATTCTCAATAGCTGGGCTTTAGAGTTGAAGTTGTTTAGATCCGTAGTTAAAAGCCCAATATTCCAGTTGGAAGAGATGCATGTGCTCACGTTTTTTGAGAAAACAATTGGAATTGACATAATATGTATAATATGTATAAGCAGTGTAACAATCCTATTACGAACAATCCTATTATGAAGAGAGTAGGTTGTGATATTCATGCTGTATTGAGAGACCTTGGTTTTGAGTATAGGAAAGGTCGAGCCAATAACTTGGTCTAGTGAAGAGTCAAATCGATTATGTCACAAATTATTAAACATGCACGTGCAAGTGGCGTTTGTGGTCGAACAAATTTGGACTCTTCACAAGTTATGTTTGGTGGTCGAAAATAAACATCATTTCAAATTCGACGAAGCCACAAAATCGGACAAATAGTGAGTATGGATCTTGAATTCCTCAAAACTAATCATGAGCAACAGTTGAAAAAGAGATAGAGATAAAGAGATGATTATCCAAATAAAAGAGTTGTCAAATTCCAGCCGCCGTTTCATGTGTTCCAAACTTGTGGAAGATTAAGACCTTAACTACTGAATTGTCACGGTCGGACATAAAATTGGTAATCACGGGGACCATAGGCCGATCTCAAAGTAGAAGCGCATTAGATGTTGGGCTGGGCTTTCGAAGTTTGTCCAGCTCCTAGTTGAAAGCCCAAAAGCCCAGCTAGTTAATTTATGTTATATTTGAACGAGCAAATGGCACGTGCTTCGCATGTTCTTTACCTTTTAAATATTTTAGGACATTTTAACCAATCCAAAATGTAACTAATTATCCAAAAATAAACTGAAAACAAATATTGCTTCAATTTCTATTTCATTTTTGTATTTATTAAATGAGACTGTGGATGTAAATTTAAATAATTTAGAACTTTTAATAATCATTTACTATGAAATTCTCTATTTATATATTTCATAAAATTCTCTATTTATTTTTGTAGTGGTTGAAAAAGAGATTTCAAAAAATTTATAGAGATCAAGTTCCTCGTATGTATGTATGTATATATATATATGTTAAAGGTTACTAGACGTGTTCTTATGAAATGACTACCATTTGTCCACTTCTAAGGTTAGAACCACTAAATTAATTAGTGGGTGGTTATTTTTTCTATAAAAGCCAACAAGTTGATTTGTTTGATAATGTAATTGATTTGAGAACTTTAGTTATTTTTTTGAATGGTAGTCATTTCATTCTAAAGTGTCGCACAAATGATGTACTTTGTTCAAGGGGTCTAGTTTGAGAGCTCCAGAGAAAGAAGTGGAGGATTGATGGGAGGGACCCACCTTGGCTAATTTAAGAAATGACCATGACTTTAGACTTTATAAGCAAGAAAGGACTATGAGGGACTCTGAGGGAGTGGCACGTTGGCTAATTTATTTAGGGAATAATCATGGGTTTGGTTGGGTTTATAAGCAAGAAATAGTATCTCCATGAGGCCTTTTGGAGCATTAGCATGAGGCGTTTTGGAGCCATGAGCACTAATGTGTCAAGGTCGTGATTCCGAACATCAACCAATTTTTGATTCTCCACTACAAATCTTGGGCCGTGGCAACAACACTAAATAATTTCTGTAACACATTAACTTCAAATTGTGTGTTGTAAGAAAAATGAAGAAATGGTAGAAAAACAAAAGAAGAACCACTTGTTTGAATTGGTGGGAAAGAGGGCAACTGAGCTTACTCAACAACGAAGAGGTGGTTTTAAATAAGTTGGAAGCTCACAATCAGGATGGGACCCTGTTCCTTTCCTTCCTCTTCTCCTCCTCCACTAAAATCCATTCTCAACATTCCCTCTGGATAATTCCTCCCCCCTTCCCCCAAACCCACGCTCTCCTCCCTCATCCGCCATGTCTCTCGCCCATTGCCTCTTCTCATCTTCCCCAAACATTGCCCCCTCTAACCCCCACGCTGCCATCCCCAAGCACCGCCCTTCTTCCTTCTCCCTCCAAAATCACCTTCCCAATCCGAATTCCTACCTCTCCCACAAGCCCCACCAATTTTCCCCTTTCTCTAAATTCAAGCACCCTTTTGCTGGGATTTCCTCTTTCGCTGAAGCTGGGGGCGAAGGAAAACAGGAAGCCCTTCAATTTAGCCAAAACCATGAGCACGAGAAGGCCGGTGGGGAGGAGGAGGAATTACAAGGGATGGCTCAGGCCTTCCATATATCTTCAAGAACTGCCACTGCTATTATTGCATGTATTGCTCTTTCGGCTCTTAGTTTTCCGCTTTTCATGAAGTCTTTGGGGCAGGGGTTGGCCTTGAAGACCAAGATACTGTCGTATGCCACTCTGTTGTTTGGGTTTTATATGGCTTGGAATATAGGAGCCAATGATGTGGCTAATGCCATGGGGACCTCCGTCGGCTCTGGTGCATTGACGCTTCGGCAGGCGGTGGTTACGGCGGCGGTTTTGGAATTCTCAGGGGCTTTACTTATGGGAACCCATGTGACTAGTACAATGCAAAATGGGATTCTTGTGGCGGGTGTGTTCCAGGGGAAGGATATGCTGTACTTTGCTGGCTTGCTTTCTTCTTTGGCTGCTGCTGGTTCTTGGTTGCAGGTACCTATGTTTTAGGATTACTTAAAAAAAAATGATTTAAATATTTTAGAAACAAACATACCTAAATATTTAAAATAAATAATTAGATAGTAAATGTCTGTCCACCCTCCCAATGTTTGTTTTGATCTTAAGAAGTACAAAATACAAAAGGCATTCTATAGAGTATCCGGTAATCTGTTCCGGATGGGTGTTAATATAAATTCTAACTTTGACTCGTTGATCATGAATGTTGGTGCGAAGATTGCATCGTATTATGGATGGCCTGTCTCGACGACCCATTGTATAGTGGGATCAATGGTTGGGTTTGGGCTTGTTTATGGAGGAGCTGGTGCAGTCTTCTGGGGCTCACTGGCGAGAGTGGCTTCTTCATGGGTGATTTCTCCATTAATTGGAGCTCTGGTTTCATTCCTTGTCTACAAGTGCATTCGTAGGGTATGTTCCTGCTCACTGCCATTTGAGTCAGGCAAGCTTCTTGCCTTGATTTTGTATCTATCATTCATGAAAACTCAAATGCTAAAAGCCACAATTAATTGGAGGTTTGTTTCAGTTTGTGTACAGTGCAAAGAATCCAGGACAGGCAGCTGCTGCAGCTGCACCGATACTCGTATTCCTCAGCGTAATCGGCATATTATTTGTATCATTTCCTTCAAGTAAGAATCCCAAATGGGCTGCAGCGCAAGCCGTTGCCTGTGGAACAGTAGGAGCATTCCTGGTTGACAAGATAATTCAGGGACAACTTGGCCATCTACTCAACAAAGCCGCTTCGTCTTCAGAAAACACCAACGAAAGTACGAGTAAAAACATTGGGTTCCTTGATGATATTGTAGGTCCAAAGGGAACTCAGTTGGAGATAGTTTATGGAGTGTTTGGATATATGCAGGTTCTTTCAGCTTGTTTCATGTCATTTGCTCACGGTGGAAACGACGTGTCCAACGCGATCGGTCCGTTGGCTGCTGCGTTATCTATACTTCATGGCAGCATCGGCGGGGCGGAGATTGTGATTCCGATTGATGTCCTTGCTTGGGGAGGATTTGGGATTGTAGCCGGGTTGATGATATGGGGGTATAGAGTGATAGCAACAATTGGGAAGAAGATTACAGAACTGACACCAACGAGAGGATTTGCAGCAGAGTTTGCTGCTGCTTCAGTGGTTCTCATTGCATCAAAACTTGGATTGCCAATCTCAGCGACGCATACATTGGTTGGTGCAGTCATGGGGGTGGGCTTTGCAAGAGGACTCAACAGTGTTAGAGCCGAGACTGTAAGAGAGATAGTTCTATCATGGGCTGTGACAATTCCTGTTGGGGCTTTCCTCTCAGTTGTGTATACATGGATCTTGACCAAGCTTTTGTCATATATTTTATGAGCCATGTATGCCATTTGGAATCGCTGTTTATAAAGGATCAAGCAAGTGAGTAACTGGTTGCTTGTCTTCAGCCGTTTCTTCCTTCTTGCTATTTGGATCCATGCAGAAGATTTCTGTGCTTCTGCAGATCGAACTAAGAGAAATGAATTTTGTGTTATTCTTGCAATGTAATCATTATATTCTTTCAATGTATCAAATAGCCATACTCACACTTGCTAGTACTAACCTTTTGATCCTTCACTCGTTCGAGTAGAAAGGTAAGTACAAAATGTTTCGTGATGAAGCAGCCAGCAACCGATCACGGTTGAGTATGTAAGCCTAATTCGAAATGGAAATAAAATCAAGAAGAAAAATAGTTCCAGGATCCATGAACGCAAAGATGGCTTTGATTGATCATATTCATTCACAGGTATTGAGATATCAAAATTAAAAACTAGTTTAAAAGCACAAAACCGAACACTAAAATGGTTAAAAACATGTTTTGAAGTGATTTAGAACACGTAAAAAAGGATTTTAATCACTTCCAAATTGCTCCCCAATAGTTATGATTTGGCTACGAACCTAGTTTCGAGCCGCCCTTTTAGCAGCTAAGGCAACTCAGAAGATGTAAAAAACAAAGGCAGACGGAAGGGATACAAAAAGATTTAATAACTTGAATACATACAACACCAAAAGTTCAAACCTTGAGTTAAATTTCTTTTCCCATCATACATACACTTTTTGCACCCTATTCCTAATTTGGGTAACAAACCATTAGAAAATCAAAACACCTTCTGAGGTTTTCCCTTCAAGTCCACGATCATCATACACAGATGGAAACAGTAACCAATATCTTCTACATTTAAAGCAACAGCTCATATAGACCAGAATGTGGTATCGCCAGTTCAAACGGACTGCATCAATTCATATGTTCATGGCCCTTAAAGAGTATCACAACCCCTAGTAAAGCCATTCAAACAGACTTCTGTGCATTGCCCATCTCTTCGAATTCCGATACAATCTGCAGCTTATGAATCTTTTCCGAGTCCAGATTCAGGTATTGAAATTAAGATTCCGAGTCTTCAAACCAAAACTATTAGTTAGGAATTCTTAATCATTTGACAGTCATCTGCGCCGTCTAGCAGGGGACCGAGATCTTGACCTCCTTGCCCTGTACGATATGTATAGTTAGGCCTAAAGAACAATTGATAACAAAAAATCTGAAGCATCCATTGGAGCAGCTTACTGTTATGAGGATGAGTGTGCATATGTCCTTAAGATCACATGCACAAACTTAATCTATGAGATATTGCGGCATACCTGGTAGTTTCAAGAGAAGAGAGGGGAGAATGCTTGCGCTGAGAGTGCTTGCTATGTGGTGACCGCGATACTTGTCTAGAAATGAAAGCATCCATTATACTGATTTGGTGAGTTAAACATGCAAAAAGCTTAGAAGAGAGCTGCTCAGCCCTCCGTGCAGTGTAATACTTAACAAGAAACTATTTGTTAGCATACACCATAAAAGATAGCCTCAGTCCATGTGAAGGAGGAGCATGGATTGGGCAATCCACAAATAAAGAAACGGAGTAATAATTTACAGGATTCCTTTCAACTCCTGCAGTTAATGATAAACTCGAAAACAGGGCAGTGATGTTGACATATCTTCCAATTTCCAAGAGATGTATTCTCCTAACTTCTTACATGATCGTTATAATCTTCACTTTTGATCATAATGATCAAACCACCAAGCATAATCACGATGTAAATTATGGAATAATATTCTTTTTTTTTTTTTTTACTCCAGCAATATATCGAAAAGAAAATAACAGTCAAACCTTCCTGGAATGTCAAAGATGCAAAAGTGAATTAGAGATTCAGGATTACAATACCTTCTCTTAGACCTGACCGGAGATGGGGACTTCTCTCGTTTTCTTGAATTCACCTTCCTGCAGAAAGGAACAACGAATAAACTCCCATGTAACTTCTTCAAATGGGGAAAAGAATAGGAACGCCTATAAGAAATACCTTTTAGAATCATCTGAGTCATCACTTGAACTATGACCAACTGCCTTGTCTTTATTTCTGTCCCTGCTGCTCTTGTGTCTACTTGAGTCACTTGAGATTTTCCATCTCGCTCTGCCTTCCTCGTCTTTTGTGTACTCCCTTTTCCTTTCAGTACCATCTTTAGTGCCAGCCCTGAGAAGCTTGTCTTCTCTCCTTTCCTCCTTTTTATGATGCGTAGACCTGTGTCTAGAGTCTGAATCCTTACCTTTCTCGCCAGACTTAACACCTTGGTCCTTCAACGATTCCTTTTGGACATTCTGATTATCTAACTCTTCCTTCTTCAGGTGCCTGGTATCTTGCCTCCGACGAATCTCATCTGCTTTTTCGTTTGTCCTAGTTTTTACCTCCCCTTCTTCTTTAACACGTTCTTTCAATGAAGAACCCCTCATACTCTCCTGCTTACCACTTCTATGTGGTTTTATTTTAGTTTCCCCATCTTGCGGATCTTTAGATCCTTTTTTACCGTTCACATTCTTTCCATGCTGTTCAGATACTATGCCTGGAGTATCATTTGTCCCAGAGGCAGTTCCATCACCAAGTTTTGTTTCTTTATCTTTACCTTTAGAGCTTGGCTTCAATGAATGTTCTTGACCCCTTTCTTCATCCACCCAATCACCATTCATCTTATTCAAGCCTGTTTTTTTACTCATTTCATTAACTGAATTGGTTGAAACATTATTGATGTCATTTGCTATAACATTTCCTTGAGTGCTAGCATCTCTAACTGCATCTTGCACATTTGAACTCTGAATTTCACCATCTCTATCATCATTTTCGTCATCATCAGAAGCATAATTTCCAAGGCCAAGTAAATCTCCAGGTGAGCTGGAACCTGACATTTCACTAGTATTACCATTATCAGGTTCCTGAACTTTGACTGGAATCAAAATCTTGGCAGAAGCTTTGGGAGTAGAAACTGGCAAGGTAGATGAAGAGACATTTTGATTTGAAGTGACTATATTGAGCTTGGCTGAATGGAAAAGGAAAAAGAAGTGTTGTGAGAGAGATAGAAGAGAAAAGCAGAACTTCTAGTTTACTTCTGCCTGCAAGTGCACGGTTTTTTTTTTAATTTTCCTTTGGGGGGGGGGGAGAGAGAGAGATCCGTAGATAGTCACCTTCGACAGCAAGATCATCCTCATCAAGAACTTTCGTAGCAATATCATCAAACAGTTCATCAGTAACCTGTGTAGAAATCATTCAAAGATGCATACATTTAAAATACTATGTACAAGAAATGTTTTGTAGCAACTTTTTAAGTCACCTATGCTGCAGAATAAGTTCAAACCAGACATAAATATAAACGTGTTCTCACACACATTCGACAAGAGACATTTGTTAAGTAAAGGCACGGCCAACACGGTATCCTCCCCTCATCAAATGGTAATTTTAAACAAGTCACAACTGAAGCAAACAAGATGTCAAAGGTCTAAATTACCTATGCTTAAACCAACACTAATAAGACATTTTTTAATCTAGCCCAAGCAGAACCCAAAATTATTTTGTTCTTTCCCAATTCCAACCAAACTTATGACTTAGTAAACAGCAGCTACTGTAAAGTATCAAAAAGCCCTCCAATCTTTGACACGTTCCTCCAGAAAAATTCCAACTTAACTACGGGATGATAACCAAATGGAACATCCAACGTACATCAACTTCAGAGAGAGTAATTTTAGTTTCCTAGCAAATTCACAAAATAGAAAAACATGAATTCAAAATCCATTTTGATAGAAATGGGCGCGTGTGGATATTCCAATCCCCATTGCAAAAGTCATAACCCAAACCAAATTCCAAACAAATAACTGGTTTCCAGAAGGGATTTTTATGTCGCAAAGTTTCTTCTAAATCAACCAGAATGTTCAGACTCTGTGATTACATGGACGGGTAATATTTGAGGAAACAAAATTTGAGAATGGTTATTGATTTCTAAAAAGCATGTAGGTCAGATTTACCTTTAAAAGTACTTCGGTCAGCACACGCTTGATTTCTTGATTTATTGCTGCAGTTCTAGCTTCTTCCACAAAATCCTGCATATCACAAAAGATGAACTCCAGAATCAAAAGAGAATATAGAGGAAGTCTCATCCGACTAAACCAGAGTACTCATTCTAAGCTCCCATCCACAAAATAGAGCATTAAAAATCGTTCTAAAAACAAAATATTATATAGAACCTCATCATCTTCTTCTTCAGCTGACCTAGATGAATCGATACTTTTACTATCAGTTAGATCTCCCTTTGCAAAAGACTTGTCAACTACTTGTTCCTCCATGAGTTCTGTATCCTCCTTAGGATGGTCAGCAGAAGAACTTGTGATCACTGCTTTCTTGATTTCCTCTCTGAGCCAATTTGGCACGGAAGCCTGAAGTTACAAGATCAGTTAACGAGCAGTTTATCATATTTCCAATATGAGGTCATGTGGTTATTTACCTTTTTTGGACGTTCAGACATATTTGACATGCCATACGCATCACCAGATAAGACTGTGGGAGGAAGAGCAGCTCCAGGAAATGGAGTAGCAGCAGTAGGAATTGCAGGAGTGATGCTAGAACCAGCAAAGCTTCCAAATGGAGGTGGTGTGTGTCCAGGAACAGAAGAAGATACAGCAACTGGAGGATCAAGCTGACAATTCATAACAATTTTCAGGAATTTGTCTTGATGATCTAGAACCAAAAAAATTGGAAAACAAATCCACAACCTGTGTTCCTGAAGCCATAGGAGGAATTGGTGGATAAACCATGCCAGGAGCAATAGAAGACCATGAATTTAAGGAAGGCATAGGGACACCAGGATCAATGCCTCTAGTGGATCCAGCTGAATCATTGCGAGCAAAGCCAGAGTGCGCTCTTAGACCATGGTCCTGACTAAACCTAGGAGCAAAATCTAAAGGCTGATCTGCAATATTGATCACGGGACCAACTGGCCCTGGCTCATTGCCATATGCATAGGGCAGAGGAGTAGATGGTTGGAAATGCTGCTGTCCATCATGAACTGATGAATTTTGCAGAGGTAGTGATTTGAACGACTCAACATATTGATCTACAGTATCTTCTTTACCTGCCATTAGGTGTTTGAGATAAAATTGAACAATTGAGAGAAAACAACAGATGCACCAAGAAATAAGGACAGGTAGTCTACGTGAATAGGACTCCAAGTGTTTAAAATGTGGGAGCAAATCTCTGCTTCAAATAATGGGAAATTTAAATATTCGTGTAAGTACACTTGGCGACTTAACTCTCAACATCACTATGATTCTGAAGAAGTCAATCACATTCTTGATGGTGGTAAAAGCTGACTATGAAATGCAATTTTTACCTAAAATTGTTTGTTAAACACTTCCAGAAAGAACTATTGGCATGCCTTGGTGCTTCGTTCAAGGATAGCTGTTCTAAGTCTTGGAATCTAGACCGAACACTGATTAAACTAGAACGAAGTACCAACAAAGACTGATCATTCAAACATTTTCCCGGGTTGGGGGGGGGGGGGGGGTCTTT